AGAGCAGGCTGCACAGGACCTTGTCCAGGCGGGTCTTGAATATCTCCAGAGAAGGAGACTCCACAACCTCCCTGGGCAGCCTGTTCCAGTGCTCCGTCACCCTCAGAGTGAGGAAGTTCTTCCTCATGTTCAGACGGAATTCATTAATCCTTTCATTGCTCTAATAATTTTGCAGCTGGGTAACTGCCAGCCTTCTTGGCGTTGGCAGAATCTGAGCTTTGCGAGTCCACCTCCGGTACCACCCAAACCACGGAGCAGTCAGAGAACCGATGTTTCGCTGGACACACCGTCCTTCAGACCAGACCTTCGTTTGCAGTGACTGCTGGTCAGAATAAAATCATCTAAGAATAAAATCAAAATACGAGAAGTAGAAGTTCATTATCACGCTCTTGATTAGGAGGGTCATTTAACCTGACCCTCACTTACTGCAAAGGGCAAGAGCAGGGGCAGTTGTGGTCGGGATCAAAATCGGTTGTGTCTTAAACACGCAACGCAGGAACCGTTGTTTAACCTGTTAATGCAAGGGAGTGGAAGAAGTTCATAGCTAAGGCATACCCAATGCTGAGATCACCGGAATTAAACAGATTCCTTATCTCAGATGCCTTTTATGGCCAAGGTCTACATGAACCCAAATGACTTGCAAAGGGAAGGAGATTTGCCTGATGATACACGGAGTGTGCTCACTAACTGTTGTTTGCCATCCTTCCGTGCGTAACCAGATCAATATCTCTTGCCTGCCCAATATCGCTATTTCACTGCGGCATTAGTGGAGGAACAGGGCCCTGATCAGCTACACCGTGGCCTCTGATTGCTGGGAACTTCACCTTGGCGTAGAACTTGATACATTCTGTGAGGACTGAGGCTCATGAAGTTATTTCTTGGAATGGAAATTTGCCGTACATCTTCAAGCATTAGATATAGATAAAGACATTTGGGAAGAGGCACTTCAGTGGATGGGTGGATGTAATTAAGTCTACAGACATTCCTTTGGAAGCCAAGCAGAGTTTTGGACTACACCGTTTCTTGTCACTGACTCTGACTCTATTTTCCAAAGAAAATAGGTCTCCATACTGGAGAGGTATTAAGAATCAGATAGCGCTGATTAAAATTAGTACTGTGAACATTTCCCTTTTTTGTTTTAATCACACATACTGAAGCTAAAATGTTTGGGGATGCCTCTATTAAATATGACTTTGGAGTGGGCTGAATTTCTTGAAAATAATTCCGTGCTGTATTTTGTTAAGCCAAGGTGCTCAAGGAAGCTTCATCTGTGCTCACCCGATTTGCACCTGAATTCCGAATCGTCTGAAGCTTACTCATCACTAGCTATTAGAAAATTCTGCCCCTTCTTCTCCCTCCCCCCAAGGTGTATGTTGCACACGTACAAAGTACCGAATAAAATGAGTATGATTGTAGAAGGGCTTTTCTAGTTCTTCACGCTACATTTAGATTCGGTGGTTTTGATCATGTTTGCATCCTGGGTCTCCTTTGTTGTCACTGGGGCATCAGAATTGATATAATACTTGTAGGCCTACAAGCACAGCTTTATAACCAGTATTTATAGAGCACAGGCTGACTTCCAGGAGGTCAGAGGAAGGTAACTATGAATAGTAAGCCTAATGCCAGCAGGCTTAGCTACACATACCACAGTATGAAAATTCATTTCAAATTTTTAGGAGCTCACAAATCAAAACGCCAAAAACCACGTATTGTCTCCTAGGTGCCTGAGACAAAGAGGACTTCAGAACTCAGGATCTGTAAAGCCAGAAATAGGAAGAATTCCAGGAGAACTGAGATGAGAAAAAATAATTTCACAGTCTGATGGCAAGTTGCTGTGAATCAAGGGGAAAATCTGTCCGCAGATGGTGTTAAATAAGTACAGAGGACTGAAACAGGCTGCAAGACAGACAGGGAGAGCGATAAAAAGGGACACTTTAAAGCTCAATTATTACAGGAGGGTTAATAATTCCCTAGCGCTGTGGTTAGTATGTAATCACAGCAGCCTCCCACATGAAGTAACATCGGTGTGGTTGTCAGGGAGGTGTGTGCGCCACGGAACACGCCGGGGTTGGAAGTCAAGTGTCCCAGCTGGGTCTGAAGGTGACCCTGCTTCGGCAGGAGGGTTGGACTAGATGACCCACAGAGGTCCTTTCCAACCCCTACCATTCTGTGATTCTGTGATTCTGAACCATCCACAGCTGAAGGTGCTGTGCTTTCATAGGACTGGTGTGTTACTTGGGAGGTGGGGCAAGGAAATAAAACAGCCGCCAGCTTCCCCCCGTCGCTTCCCCGCCCACCGCGTCCCGTACCTGCAGCCGGGAACCTTCCTCCCACTGGTGGGACAGCAGCTCCACAGGAATTCCTCTTTTTCTCAGCAGACTCATCAAGTTACAAAGATTAACCCCAGAGTGTGCAGGGAACGATTAACCACAAAACACTTGGCCGTGTCTCCACAGCCAGCCTGCAGAAACGCGCTCTCATGCCTCCCGCTTGGTTCGCGTGTTGCTGGGGAGGCCATCTGGGGACGCTGGGGGTGAGCTGCCCTCGAGAGCAAGCGGAGCTACGGCAGAGAAGGATGCCACCTGGGCTAGAAATCGAAACCAAAAAAAGGCAACAAACTGACCCTCCGCTGTCTTTTTTCGGGTGCGACCGGGCACGTCGATGCAAAGCCGGCACCGTGCACGTTGGGTTGCACCAGCGACCCCACTCAACACACCACCCCGCAGTGGCCTCGCTCGCCACCTCAGCTCAGCTACTTGGCACAAGCATACGTGGTTTTCACCTTTACAAAGTAGAGGAAGATCCAGCCCTGGGTGGTTGGCGTGTGCTGGAAGCTCCACAGCCAGCCACGAGAGTTAACAGAAAAGGAATACAGCAATCTTTATGCCAACTTTTCTCTATGCCATCACCTATCATTAGATAACATAATTACAGACCTAGTTTCTCCCACCTTCCCCTTCACATGATGCTCTCCCTGGCTTTCCCGAGATGGCCACCCCAGCCTGCTGAGGCCGGAGCGTGCCCTGTGGAAGCCGGGCTCCGTGCCTTTCCGTCTGCGTTGTCCCAACACGTGCTGGGAAGCAGAGACAAGGTTTTCAGTTCCCTTTATCACAGCAGACTTCGCTTCCTGAGCTGCCTGTGTCCAAATCTGAAGTTGCACTGATGGAGAGCACTGTTTTTCGCATATTCCAAGACCAATTTGAGTGCAAATTGCCCTTAATAAAACTGCGTTCTGTACCAAAATCCAGCGTGATAATGGTGGTTTGCAACAAAGGGCCGCTGTTTGTATTTCCCTAGGGATTCAGTTCACATCGGCTTTCCAGGTATAAGGTGGCCAAGTCTGTACCCAGACTATAAAGACTGTACTGTAAGTATACACTGTGTATACTGTAAGTACACAGACTTATACAAGACTATAAGGAAGGTGGCTGGGATAATTACTGTCTTCGCTAGACACAAATTGCTAAGAGAAATCCACAGCATGAATACAAGAAATAAAGTGTCTCTTGCAACGCGTGATGCAGTCATTGTATGTTGGGCTGCGTGGCCGCACGATGCTACCTCAGTGTTAATTGCTCTCATTTACTGGAACACCCGTAGGAAAAGCATCTTGTTCCTGTGGAGCTAAAGGTCTTCGAGGTACGGAGCCTCCAATCTATGGTTTATTTGGCTGCCTGAATTAGCAGATGTTCTGCTCTTCCTTTAATAAATAACTCTGGATAATGACTGCGGTTTGCTTTGAATATTCATCTGAGAAGTTAATAAGACTATGTTTAAAGAAGCGAACAGATAATTAAACCTTCCCTGAAACAAACCTGATTGTTGAAGAGACTCCGAGCCAAAACTGCCTCGGCGTTTTAAACTTACCTCTAGCGTTTCAATAAGCATTTGTGAGTTCAAGCCAGATTAACCCAAATCTCGGGAAGAATATAATGCTTTTTAGGAAGAAGATTCTAAAGGGGAATTGTATCTTACCAGGATTTTGTCTTCAATTGAAATTATTCCATTATTTCATTAAAAGCCCCTTTTTGCTAGAAAAGCAACATTTTCCATGTTGTCATTCCGGAAAACACAAATATCCTTCTCTATCATCTCATCTGTAGTCTGTGGCTTGTAATGTGCGGGGGAGGTCAGACTAAATCCTCCTGTAATCCTTTTGAGCTTTAGAGTCTGTTAACTTTTATTCAGTTTCTTACACTGTATTTCTGTTCTCAGGGGAGAGTGATCCTTAGATCACAAAGCAATTTTAGAATTTCCCAGCGAGCTATGGGAAAAAGTCCGGTCCAATGCCTTAAAGGCAAATATCGATAGATTTAGGATGGAATTTGTTACGTCTATCTTAAGGCATCTAAAAATTAGGAATCTGGGCTAAACCAGTCTCCCAGGCACTTTGTATCAGAGTGAGGAGCACCGCCGCCAGCCGGGAAATGACCTCATTCCAAGCAAGGTCTCCCAGATAGGTGGGCTGGGCCGTTTTCGGGAAGCACGGACCGTAAGGAGCCAGAATGACTCAGTTCAGCGATACCTGACTTTCGAACAAGTAACATCAGATCAGACACGTTTGATTTCTGAGGGTGTGGGTAGCTGCTTTTGATTGTGCGCAGCTGACGTTCAGACATCTAAGGAATTGTTAGAAGAAATGGAAGGGGATTAATACATTTTGGTTTTTTATAAAGGAGTTATTTTAGACAGTGCTGGGAATGCTGGCAAGAAGTTTCAGAGTAGGCACGGCACATAAAGGTACAGATGGTATGAGTAAGGGCAAGCCATAGCACATACACAGCATAGAGGTGTGACGTTGTAAATGATATGCAAACCCTGGATTAATCTAAGAATAAAGAAATAAAACAGGAATCTATCCATCAAAAACTGTTACATCAGAAATCCCTTAGACCTGTGCTTTTCTTTCTTCGTCTTCTGCAGAGATGATGAATTTTTTTTTACTCCAGAGGACACAAAAGCTTGAACAGACTTGCAAAAGCTCAGGAAGATCTAATAACATCTGGGACTGCTGCATCTACCTTCTCAGATATGAGCACATAATGCTGTGTCTCTCTTTCTTTGGGGCTTGAGTTACTGCTCTGTTCGAGAATCTGTTTAAGAATTGGTTTACTCTTCTGTTCAAGAATCAAAGCGGCCGGATTACCATTCCTGTGCACCTTACATAGTCACTTAAATCAAATCAAAGGGAATTTGCACATAACTGTTTTTCACAGGCTTTGAAAAGCTCAGCTGAGTTTTAAAATAGCTGGTTTTCATATGACTTTACACTGTTCAAAAGACAAAGGAATGAAAACTTCCACTCTTTCTACAGGAAAA